GTGTGTGTATATATATATATATATATATATATATATATATATATATATATATATATATTACACACATTTGTTGCATTTGATTAGTGATCTAGAAAAACATACAGAATCTTATCTGTGTGTGTGTAAGTGTTTATACATGTATGTTTATGAATATATCACTAATGTGTCACTGCAGGTGTTGCAAGCCCAGCTGGAGTCGTTGCTGCAGGGGCAGGAGGGCATTCGCAGCAGCTGCAGTTTCACAGAGCAGGCTCTTAATCACGGCTCGGAAGCTGAAGTCCTATTGGTCAAGAAGCAGATGAGTGAGCGTCTTGATGAGCTGGCAAGTCAGGAGCTCCCACTTCGGCCAGAGGAGAACAGCCAGCTTGACTTCTTGGTGGAGACCGACGGTCTTCGCAAATCCATCCACAACCTTGGTGTTATAATAACCACCAATGCTGTTGCTGCAGAAACTGTTGCCACCGGTGAAGGCCTGAGGCATTGTATCGTGGGGCAGCCTACTTCTGTGACCATAACAACAAAAGACAGAGATGGAGGATTGTGCCGGACAGGAAATGCTCTGCTAATAGCTGATCTTTCTGCCTCTGATGGCACCGTAGTGGGGGAAGGTGAAGTCACAGATCATAAAAATGGCACTTATGAGTTTGTATACACAGTCCCGTGTGAGGGCCGCTTCACGCTCTCGCTAAAGCTCTACGATCAGCCTATTAGGGGCAGCCCGTTCAGCATACGTGCCAGAAAATTGACCGACATCTCCCTGACTGCAGACGGAGGCAAGAAACGTCTCAAATCTCCAGGAAGTAGCCATGTGAAACAGCTTGCCATCAAGCGCCCCGCCAGCATGTACAGCACGGGCAAACGGAAAGAAAACCCAATTGAAGATGACCTCATGTTTCGAATTGGTATAATGAACATACATCGCTTTTGTAACACCTAATCAAAAACAAAAAAACGGCACACAGTTTTACTGTTATCTGCTCTTGTAAAACTTTAATATATTGCAATGTTGTGACCCAAACAAGGTCTTTGTCAGTCAAAAAATATATTTATAAATATTATATAATCTATTTTAAATTAGTATAGATATTAATCTATACTAATTAGTTAAGAAAAACATGAATGAATTTAGGCATCACAATAATATAATAAGTATGAAGGATAATATTCCTTTTCAAATGTTATATGAATACGTAATAATATAGGTAGTAAATATACATAGTTATGTTTATGATGGTAACACTTTAGTATGGGGACCAATTCTCACTATTACCTAGCTGCTTATTATTATAATTAGCATGCGTATTAACATATTGGCTGTTTATTAGTACTTACAAAGCACATATTCTGCATGATCATATTCTACATCCCTAATCCTACCCAATACCTAAACTTAACAACTACCTTACTAACTACTAATAAGCAGCCGATTAAGAGTCTATTGAGGCAAAAAGCATAGTTAATGGTTTTTTAATAGCGAGAATTGAACCTTAAAATAAAGTGTGACCATTATGATTTATATTTGTATGTGTGCATGTGTATGTATATAAGTAAAAGATGCAATATATAAAACCTGTATATGTATTTTTTTTGTCCCAAAGGAACTAAAGGCAGAAATAAGGGTGAATTCACCAATCTGCAGGGAGTTGCTGCTGCTTCTATTGGCAAGGTCCTGATAGCGGATAGTAATAATCAGTGTGTTCAGGTATAAAATGCTGCACCTGTTTAATCACATTATAAATCCAGTCTTTTACCATCATTCTGCAGATTGCTTATTGCCTATTGAATTTAGGTGAAACATCTGTAAGAAAATGAATTGTTTTATTTATAGATATTTTCAAATGATGGACTATTTAAGAGTCGTTTTGGAGTGAGGGGCCGATCACCAGGACAGCTTCAACGGCCAACTGGTGTTGCTGTGCACCCTAATGGTGACATCATCATTGCTGACTATGATAACAAATGGGTCAGCATTTTCTCCTGTGATGGCAAGTTTAAGGTATCTGCATCTGCAAGTTTTTATGTTTATGGTGCTAGAATTTGTGGCAAATAATTTCTTTTTACCAAATACTTACCTTCAAAAACACTGAAAATTCTTTCAGTAGACTGAATTGTGGTAACTTTGTTTTCTCTTTCTGTTCTCTGTGTGTTTTTGCAGACTAAAATTGGCTCAGGGAAGCTCATGGGTCCTAAGGGTGTAGCGGTTGATAGAAATGGCCACATCATTGTGGTTGACAATAAATCCTGCTGCGTCTTCATTTTCCAGCCCAATGGAAAACTTGTATCTAAGTTTGGAAACCGAGGCAACAGTGACAAGCAGTTTGCAGGTACTTACCTAGGTTACATACTGACATTTATGCAGCCCTCACATGCTATCAAAATTATCATAAATACAGGTTTTCTAATTGGAAATTAGACATGAATTGTAAAATCATGTACAATTTGTGACTGGGAGACTGAGATCATTTTGATAGCAGAGTTTCTGAATTGGCCAGGCCATAAACTTTAAACATGACAGAGGAGCAGGGCCGGTGTTCTGACAAATAATGCTACCTATCAGATTATGCTACCAACACTGTATTTATCCTACTGTAAGGGTAGGTTTAGGGTTGGGGTAGGTGTGCATGTTAATAAAGCCTCACACCTTATTAATATCATTCTGGACGCAAAATCTGATAGGTAGCACTTTTCGCTATCGAATTATGCTACCATCTGTTTTAATGGGAGGTAGCAAAATCTGACAGGGTAGCACAAATCATCAGAACACTGGCTCTAGCTACAGGCAGAGCAGGTGATTTGCCTAGGGCCTCGGGCTTTGAGGAGGGGCCTCCAAAATTGTAACATTCCCTATACGCCAGTCCATGGACAGCAAAATACTAGCCTCATTGTTCACTGGATATTGCTGAATTGTCACTCACCTGCAATTAAACCAGTTAATGTTGCCGTTTCAAAGCGGGTCCCGCCTTCTGAATGTTTGCGTAACTAACACATCCTTCAGGTGCTGAAGCAAACGGCTAAATAGGCACGCAAAGAAGCACAGCTCATAATGCAGGTGTGTGAGTTGTTGTCGTCTTTTATTTCTGGAGTGACTGCAATGTATTCTAAATATAAACTTGTACATCGATCAGGGTTGTTTCTGGACAGATCATTCACCAATTTATTACGAGGTTTAAAAGAGCGCGAGCACTGATGCGCCCAGACACGACGCTTTGAATTTGCGCGTACAGTAAATGATTTGATGACAGTAAATCGCGAGGGGCCTCCAAAATTGTAACATTCCCTATACGCCAGTCCATGGACAGCAAAATACTAGCCTCATTGTTCACTGGATATTGCTGAATTGTCACTCACCTGCAATTAAACCAGTTAATGTTGCCGTTTCAAAGCGGGTCCCGCCTTCTGAATGTTTGCGTAACTAACACATCCTTCAGGTGCTGAAGCAAATGGCTAAATAGGCACGCAAAGAAGCACAGCTCATAATGCAGGTGTGTGAGTTGTTGTCGTCTTTTATTTTTGGAGTGACTGCAATGTATTCTAAATATAAACTTGTACATCGATCAGGGTTGTTTCTGGACAGATCATTCACCAATTTATTACGAGGTTTAAAAGAGCGCGAGCACTGATGCGCCCAGACACGACGCTTTGAATTTGCGCGTACAGTAAATGATTTGATGACAGTAAATCGAGAGCTGACTAGCAAAATAGCTACAAAAGTAAAAACAAAGAACTTTGTATTCAAATTCAAAAAGCAAACGCACTAGACCATTTTATTTAATGTTTCAAAAAAGTACCTCCGATGTGTGTAACTTCTAAATTGTGCTTTTGTATAGGCTATTTAAGGTAGCAATACAATGCGTAGGCTAAAATCATATTTATTAATATTAATAATATGACAATATCATAGTTAATATTGGTTAAATGGGAGGGAGAAATCCTGCCCATACCCAGCTAGGAAAAAATATATAAGCACTGATGTTCATTTACTGAAGTGGTATTCAGGAACTGTGAATAAATTACTGAAAAATAATAATAATAATAATAATAATAATAATAATTTTATCACAGCTATAATAACATCCTCAACAAACAAAAAATAGATTACCTTAGATAAAGTTTGATTAATATGTACATACAGTACTGTAATGTATCAAAAGTTTGGACACACTATAGTTTTTAATGTTTTTGAAAGAAGTCTCTTATGCTAATCAAGCTATACATTTATTTGATCAGAAATACTGAAAAAAACATTGTTGTATTGACTTAAGTTTAGTTTTTCCCAAAACATCTATATTTTGCAATTAACATATATGAATAACTATTTGATGCATTTCACACAGGGGATATACAGTAGTATTTATTTAAACAAAAACCCAGGAAAATTACCAAGCTATTTTACTATGTAAAAAGTATACTTTAGGGCTATGTTTTATTCAAAATATGTTACATATTTCTGTACATTTTAGCTTTAATAAGGTTTTCCCAAAAAATAGGCAAGAATATCCTCGATGATTCATATACTTTCAGACATGAATGTCCTCCACGACTCCTGTTCTATCCAACAGCAAAGCACTTGAATGTGATTAAATCATAATTAGACTTCAGAAATGTGAAGTAGAACATTTCCGAAAGCACATTGTAACGATCGGCCTTATCGGAAGTTGTTACAATAAATAAAAGGGGTCAGGTTATATACAGTGTGAGGTAAAATAAGTGTTTTTAAAAAGATGAGACAAATGACAAAAGTAGACCGCATAAATAGTGTATTTACACAATGCACAAGGAACTTGAAACGGCACAATAAAACTAGAATAACTTAGGCTGTTAAAAGCAGATTGCCCATTTGAATCGTACCCTAAAACAGTCCTTAAAAATCCTAGTGGGTTGAAGTTCCAAGGTAAAAGTGTCCACCGGCAGTGTTGCCAACTGCTTTCAATTGAAAGTAGCTAAAACTGGTGGCTAAATTACACTAGATGATATCACAATGGCAAATTCACTGACCTATATAAAGATGAATGTATATCAGTGGGCAAGATGAGAACTTGGATAAGGTTTGTCCAAGAAGTTGCTATATTTGTCCCTAAACTTTTGACAAAAGTCTCAAAAGGGGCAGGGACGTCGCTAGTCTAGCTACAAAGTAGATAAATTGGCGACACTGTCCACCGGTGTATATACAATCCAAAGAAAGTGATAATCCAAGATGTGTGAGATACTGGAATGGTAAATCCATAAAACAAGTGCACCATCCAAGTGTGTTCAGTGTTTGGTCAATGACCCCGTTTGTTTGTCATGCTGCTTGCTTTATACTGGTCTACTTCCTGATTCCTGTCATGTGATTAAAGACATCCACACATTAAAATGATTAAGAGGATTAAAATGGCTAAGACAACATGTAAAACCATTAAAACTAAAATATATAGATATAAAACCATCTTCATATATTGAGCGGTATAAAACGTGTCTTTGAGTGACAGTGTCACAGCATGAAGGCAGCATTAATCTAATAACCACATGCTTTTCAAATGGCTTTATCTGTCAGTTCATGCATCTAAAATAGTGTTCCCATTAGTCAATTTTTTAACTGAAAGGCAAAGCCGCATTTCTGAAATGCCATATTGGGTGGGTTAATGTGACGAGGCCTTGAGGTTACCAAATGCTGAATGTTCAACTCTTTATCTTTCCTTTTCATAGGTCCACACTTTGCCGCAGTGAATCAAAATAATGAAATCATTGTGACTGATTTTCATAATCATTCTGTAAAGGTAAAACACCTATTCTAATATATTGCCATGTTATGTTCCTCAAAGGTCATGTCCTGTCTAAATTATGTAGCCCCAATTGTGGTTACTTTTTGAATAACAGTTTGCTCATATCTGTTCAAAGTTAATCAAAAACATAAGTCTTTTTAAATACTGATGAGTTAATGCAGATTATGTCATCAAATCGCAGGTGTTCAGTCCAGAGGGTGAGTTCCTACTGAAGTTTGGGTCAAATGGCGAAGGAAATGGGCAGTTTAATGCACCAACAGGTGTGGCAGTAGATGCCAACGGCAATATTATAGTGGCTGACTGGGGCAACAGCCGGATACAGGTAATACAGGCTTAGACTAATTAAATATGTTTAACAATGTGATCACTTGCAGTACACGTCAGATAAAAGATTTAACATCTTCCTATCATCACACTTTTCTGTGGGACTCCAGGTGTTTGACAGCAGTGGATCCTTCCTGTCCTATATCAACACCTCCGCAGACCCTCTGTATGGCCCACAAGGACTGGCTCTGACCTCAGATGGCCACATTGTGGTGGCAGACTCTGGGAACCATTGTTTTAAAGTATACCGTTATCTACAATAGCACTCTCATCTCTAAAAATAAATACTTGCACTTTTTCCTTAAAGCTGCCGCCCCCTTGTGCCAAATGGGACCCTCATATTGCATTGCAGTTGTGTTGTTGTGGCTCCATTTGTGACACCCTCACCTTGGACGGAAGAACAGACTCTGTACCCTGATCGTGGTTCTTTGGTTTTGAAGTATAAAGGAATAACTTTTCCAGAAATACAAATTCTGTCATTTAGCCTCAGGTTGTCTCAAACCACTAAGGATTTCTTTCTTCTGTGGGATGTAAAAGGGAATTCTCTTGAAGAATATCCTGGCCTTTCTTGTAATTAAAGAGTCTTGTAACCATAAACGGGTTCCAAGCCATACAAAGGCATTGTGGGAGGAAAAGATCAAAACCTTCCTGGTTGCTTTAACTCTTAAATCTAAAATGTTGCCATTAATTATGTTGTTAAGAGTCTCAGAGAAAAGGAAGATAAGCAATGTAAATATATATTAATATATTTAGCATATAAAATATTGTAATATAAGAAAACTAATACATATCTCTCTCATTCACTTTTATTATGTAAAAAAGAAATCACCTTTTGTGCTCCATGGAAGAAAGTCAGAGTGATTTGGAACAACACGAGTGAGAGTAAATGACAACAGAAATGTAATTCTTGGTTGTAAGTTATGCAGTTCTTCACCTTTGACTCAAAAACTGCTACACATTAGGGAAAACATTCATGTTTCTACTGTATGTTGAAAAATCTGAATGTTCAGATGATTAAAAAGGGAACTCTTCAAAGCATTGGCATGCATAATAAGAATGCAAGTAATGCGATTCCAAACTAATTTTGAATTTGTATATCTGCACAACAAATAGACAAAACCCCCAAAACAAATCTCTATGGTGGGCTAGTATCAATAATATTTGACCTATGTTTAAAAGTGATGTCAGGAATATTCATAAAATATGCAACAATATACGTGCTTCTTTGCTATTGACTGTGATGTGCACAACTGTGGTTGGTACAATGTTCTTATAATGCAATTAAGTCTCTTGAGTCACCCATATTATGCAAGGAACATCACTTGATATGCTTTTTAGATTGTAAACAAAATTTCCTTTTTTAATATCATTGCACTGTTCATTTAAAAATCAGCCGTGGTCATTTCTCTAAACCATAAATGTTAATGTGTTGTTCAGAGAAACAATATCACATGCTCAAATCACCAGATGCACTTAGTGATTTAGCAACACAAAAAATATGTATAGTGCTGTTATTAATAATAGCCCCCTGGTTAAATGTTTACCAGAAGACATGCATTATAATTACTAATCTTCATGTGTTCTGAGAGTGGTTGTGTTGTGTTGTTGACAAACCAACCATGTTGTGTGTTCATATTCATAATGCTTAAAAAAAACGAAAAAGTGCCCAGGGTTCTTTTCAAGTGTATTTATGCCACACACACAGATAAATCTTCCTTGTCTTATGTCCGTTCTCCTGTACAGTTGGATTGTCATACACAGGGAACTATTGCTGCTTGTTTGCACAAAATACACAATATATTACATGATGTACATTCCAAAATGTATTTCTCCCCTTTATATCCACAAACCTGCTTTTTTTTGTAGCATTAAAGCTTGCATTTTACTTCTTTGTTGTATTATCACATGAAAAGACATGCAACCAATTACGCTTTTACATTTGTAGATCTTAATGCCACATTCAGGTGACATGTTATATCATTTTTTGCACAGCACATAAATAAACTATTATTTGAGATGTTTTGGATATATTCTAGTCATTAATTGACTAAACACAGACCTATAGAAAGATTGTGTACTTAATTTTATAAGGATGCGTAATTTGTTCCATGTTGTACTTTGATTATGAAAGCAAGCTAGAACCTCAGATGGAAACTTAGTACAAACCCTTGGAGCACTAGAAATACAGTAAAATGGTCTACTGTTTTTACTGAGTGAACTGAGTCAGTTTGATAACACAGTTGACTATGAGCCTTAATTCCCAGTCAAGAACACCTTCTCCTGAGCCATTCATCAATTCACGATTCATTTCATGTCCGTGTTTCGATTTGCTTAAAATTGCAAAAACTAATAGAAGGGACATGAAGGCAGGGTACATTTTTATAATGAATGGATCTTAAGTTTAAAAGAGCAGGGGGAAAAAATTAATAAAAAAAATAGTCAATATTATCTATTTTAAATGTATTTCCAACATGTAAATGGTATAGAAATGTTTTTGATTGTTTAAATTTAAAATATTCAGTTTTGCTCATGTTTTGTCAAGGATGTACTCTTAAAAGTAAAGGTGCTTAAAAGTTTCTTCACAGCGAAGCCATAGAAGAACCATTCAGTCAAAGAAAAAAAATCTGAAGAACCTTCTTTCGCCACAAAGAACCTTTTGTGAAACAAAGGTTCTTCAGATGTTAAACGTTCTTTATGGAACCATTTAGACAAAAAATGTTCTTTTATGGCATCGTGAAGCATCTTTATTTTCAAGAGTGTATTTAATTTTTTTTCACTAGCATGTTACAGTATTTAAAACACTGACAAAGCAAACCTAAAGAAATTCACAACACAAAATCAAGTACAAAACTTTTTTTTTTTTTTTAATTTTCAATGGTCAAACTTGCCAAACATCTAGAAAAATATACAACAAAATGCTGAACCTTACCACAACATCAAACATAAAAGAAAGAAGAATATTCACATTTTTCCCCCTTTAGAGATAAAAGCACATTCTGTTTTTCCTTATTATTCAAAACAAAAGCACCGTTTGCTCACATATCCCCACAGTAGCCTGAATCGTTGGAGAGCTGAGAGTTGGAGCTCCGGTTTGAAGACGAGTTCCATATGTCCAAATTCATGTGCGGTCCAAAGGGATTGAAGCTGGAGTATTGTTTTCCCGGGCAGGCGCCGCCTGGTTCGCGGCTGAAGGGTGCGACGGGTGAGATGGGTGAGTGGGACGAGACCGGCACGGAACGCTCTAGGTGGAAGTGGCTCTGGTAAGGCTCGCTTTGAGGTGTCCAGATGGAGCCAAATAGACTGGACATGGGTGACAGACTTCTGGTTCCTGAAAAGTATGGCTGGGAAAAAAAATGAAAAATGATGAGGGAAAAATTGCTTTAATATTCCAAGCATCTACTTCTCAATGAAGACAAACTACACACATTTTATCAGGCTGGAAAAGCACCGTTCGCTCACATATCCCCACAGTAGCCTGAATCGTTGGAGAGCTGAGAGTTGGAGCTCCGGTTTGAAGACGAGTTCCATATGTCCAAATTCATGTGCGGTCCAAAGGGATTGAAGCTGGAGTATTGTTTTCCCGGGCAGGCGCCGCCTGGTTCGCGGCTGAAGGGTGCGACGGGTGAGATGGGTGAGTGGGACGAGACCGGCACGGAACGCTCTAGGTGGAAGTGGCTCTGGTAAGGCTCGCTTTGAGGTGTCCAGATGGAGCCAAATAGACTGGACATGGGTGACAGACTTCTGGTTCCTGAAAAGTATGGCTGGGGAAAAAAAAAGAAAAATGATGAGGGAAAAATTGCTTTAATATTCCAAGCATCTACTTCTCAATGAAGACAAACTACACACATTTTATCAGGCTGGTAAATAAACAGTGTGTTTCTAAGGAGCTCAGAATAATACTGTCCAAATAACTTTTAAACCAAGATGCCAGTGTAAACCGTTTTTCTGCATTTGCTTGCAATTTGTGGGTGTTAATAGTTCAAGTATCTGCTACTCTTTATTTTGCACACTTAATTGTAATGTACTAGTTTAAATGTTAGCACGAGACTCCAACTCTTACAAATGCATTATAGTATCCTCAAAAACATGCATATTGATTCAAAATATTAAAAACACTTCGGATACACTGTTGTCAGCTATGCTTTCTCCCCAAGTCTTCTCTCCAACAGTGAGGCCATAATGTGCATATTTTTATTAGATAAGTATAAACCCTTGCGCTGTATGTTTTAGTCGAGTGTCAGTGTTATTCCACGAGCAGCTCATGACTCCGCGTTGTCAGGGTCTACAAGAATGGCTCGGTTCACAGTGAATGCAGCAAACTCCATCTCTGAATGTGCTGCGAGTTTAACATGCAGTTTCACATTCACATCATTTACAGCATTTTTTGTGGACAGAAGATTTCACTACATTTGTAGGAAGTGTTTGTAAACACATAAAGGTCTCTTTCTAGTTTTCCACCAAAATAAAAGCCAATTAAATAATAAATAATAAAATTTATTAATAAATATTGTAATTTTACCGCAGTGTAAAGTAAAATAATTACTATATTTAAATATATTACAGTGCCGTGTAAAGTACAAAAATAACACTTTTTTGACTAAGAAATAACATATTAAAATGTGTATTTTATTTAGAAAGTCCATTTGTACAGTCTCTTTTTTGCACTTTTGGAAATATTTGCTGCTCTGATTTTTCTTTTAAATAATTTTTCCTTGGCTTTTTCTTTAAAAAAGCTGACTCGGAGAAATGCACAAGAATTCCAATGTATCTGTACTACAATGTACTTGTGCAAATGGCAATACACTCTAAACTAGTAATAATCATATATTATATTACTGTTATTAGTATTAGTATTATTATTTAACCCCCTCTGAGCTATCATAATCTCTGTTATAGTTTCAGTTAATAAGAAAATATTTTGCTTACAGTTATTAAGTACATTAATTTAGATACGGTTTAAATTGTATACCCTTAATCGTAGCATTTCTCTGTCATTGAAAATGGCATCAAAATAACAAAAATATTGTTTATTTGGCTACTGAGAGTTTTTTCTGATTTATGGAGTGATAAAGACAACCAAAAAAACTTGTAATATGTAAAAGTATAATTTGCATATTTAAAAATAACATTTCAGAAAAACTTGCAAAAATGTCTGCAATTCTTAATGTAATCAATCAACTAGGGAAGTATGGTGATATCTATTACTTAAATATCTTATTCTATTCACCTGGGGTGTCTTGCCTCAAATATCAATACTTTTCAAGGTAACACTGTTGACTTCTGATTTTAAGAAAGTGCCTGACAAAAACACTCATGTAAATCTCACCTTGCTGCCCACACAACTGCCAGTGTCCCATGTGGAGTTCATGTCATGGGTTCCATTCTCACCCCACACTGGCTGTTGGCTGTGGGTCACGGTTTGGCTTTGATGGCATGAGAATGCATTTTGGTAATTGCCATTACCTTCACAGAAAAAAAACAAAGAAAACGTTGACTCATCCTTTAGTTACTATGTAGTACAGTGATATATTTTAACTCCTCGTGACAGAAAACTCCTCACCTGTTGGCATGTAGTTGGTCTGGTCACTATAGGGATACTGACCGGCACATTGGCTGTTCACGTTGTTCCATGGGAAGCTTCACAGTAATGACACATAAGAATTTTTATCTGATTGTGTATGGACACATAATATGAAGTCAAAAACGAAATAGATAGTATATAATAAAAAGCCTATGAGACATACCTCTCATATCCTGATGAGGGACTCTGAGGGACGAACGGGAGGGATTCGGTCATGTTGTACCTGAATTCATTGGTCAGAGGAATTGAGGCCGGTGACCATGTCTCTTCAATCACATTAGAGCCGATTATGTCTGGTGAAACCAAACTAAAACATATGAGTGTGCATCTTAACCGTGATTCTCTTTTTAAGTGTAACGTGTGAATGTCCCTCACCAATGTTTTTGTCCACACCTGCAGCTACATCAGCAAAGGTGTGAGGGATTGCAGGGGCGGGACAGACTTCTGGGCTTTGGCATGGTTCCCTGACATAAAGATTGTTCATGCTGTGGACAAATGCATTTATATATCATCAAACACTTTCAGGATTCTTAAGTCAAAACACCGCAAACTTAAAGGATTAGTTCACTTACAGAATAAACATTTCTTGATCATTTACCCACCCTCATGTCATCAGAGATGTTTATGTCTTTCTTTCTTCAGTCGAAAAGAAATGAAGGTTTTTGAGGAAAACCTCCCAGGATTTTTCAATGAGCCAATGGGTTGAAGGTCCAAATTTCAGTTTAAATGCAGCTTCAAAGGGCTCTACACGATCCCAGCCGAAAAATAACAGTCTTGTCTAGTTAAGGATCGTTATATACTTATTTATATACTTTTTAACCACAAACGCTTGTCTTGCACTAGCTCGACTTCACAAATCCCGAAATCATGTTGGAAAGGTCACGTGTGACGTAGGCAGAAGTACCAACCCAGTGTTTGCAAAGCAAAAATGCAAAGAAAGTCAAATGTCCTTTACAAAACAACGATGTTGGACAATTTAAAAGTTGGAGGAGAAAGAGATTTTTTTTTTTGCCCTATTCTATCTTTTTGAACCGGAGTACAAAGACAAAGAACGTGACTACTTTTCAACGGCCACGTACACACTGCAATTTTCAGCAGTGACAACCGCATTTAAATGTGGTAGTGAGTCCCGTAAATTATCATTTCGTGTGTGTACGGAACAGAAGTCACTCCTGCATTTGTAACCATAGCAACATTTTGGCGTCTTGCAGGAGTGAATAAAAATTGATCCATTTGGTATCTACCATTTTTTGTCTAAAGACTCTTTTTGTCCGTCGATTTGAACTAAACCGCCACTGATAGACGTGCTGTGTTTTGTTTATGCTCGGGAGGCTGCTTTAGAAAGCACTGTCTTGCAGTGTTGCCATGTCCTCATATTTACAAGCACTTTTAGACATATTGTTTGGTCTTGGCTTATAAAGCTAGGCACTTTATGGAGTTAACAAACTGGTCTGTTGCGGATATGAGATATGATGTTTTTGGTGTTATAAAACAAAGCATTTGGGTGTTTTAGGTTTTTTTTGGTGCTTGTCCTGGTTTGTTGATTTTTTTTTCTATGAAGATCTGGCAACACTGACACTTTACCGCAGGGCTCGTGAACAACTATCCCCGTGTCAAAATTGTGCTAAGTTAAGACTTCTTTCACAGTTATTTTCTTGCATCTCACATACAGACGAAGACACATTTCTGATGCGTGTTTAAATACGTCATTAACAACTAGTTGTTCGGTTCGGTTCTGTACAAACTGCATATAATTTCTGTAAATGCGGTTGTTAATACCTGTCATTTTCGGGAGTTAATGCGGTTATCACTCCCGTATTTTTGTGAATTATGTGTGTACAGAACGCAATTAAGGAGAAAAAGGTCAACTGAAAACCGAATTTAGCTGCAGTGTGTACGAGGCCTTACGTGACTACGTAATGTTGTGAAGTCACGGGCACGCATCGCAGAGCTAGTGCAAGACGAGCATTTGTGGTTAAAAAGTATATACCTTTTAATTTTTTTAGAAAATGACCAATCGTTTCACTAGATAAGAGCCTTATTAGTCAGGTGGGATCATGTAGAGCCCTTTGAAGCTGCAATGCATCTCACATACAGACGAAGACACATTTCTGATGCGTGTTTAAATACGTCATTAACAACTAGTTGTTCGGTTCGGTTCTGTACAAACTGCATATAATTTCTGTAAATGCGGTTGTTAATACCTGTCATTTTCGGGAGTTAATGCGGTTATCACTCCCGTATTTTTGTGAATTATGTGTGTACAGAACGCAATTAAGGAGAAAAAGGTCAACTGAAAACCGAATTTAGCTGCAGTGTGTACGAGGCCTTACGTGACTACGTAATGTTGTGAAGTCACGGGCACGCATCGCAGAGCTAGTGCAAGACGAGCATTTGTGGTTAAAAAGTATATACCTTTTAATTTTTTTAGAAAATTACCAATCGTTTCACTAGATAAGAGCCTTATTAGTCAGGTGGGATCATGTAGAGCCCTTTGAAGCTGCATTGAAACTAAAATTTGAACGTTCAACTGTTGGCTCCCATTGAAGTCCACTATATGGAGAAAAATCCTGGAATGGTTTCCTCAAAAACCTTAATTTCTTTACGACTGAAGAAAGAAAGACATGAACATTTCGGATGACATGAGGGTAGTAAATTATCAGGAAATTTTTATTCTGGAAGTGAACCAATTCTTTAAGAAAATCTGGGAATTTTACCTTTGAGTTTTGTAGTCGTAGTTCATGTTCATGTAACATTCCCGATCTTTTGGATATGGGTTGTACTGGATGTTGTCTCCTAAAAAAAATAATAATAAAAAAAAGGGTTAAAATACTATTTTATAGAACTTGTTTTGGAAACTGCAGTGGATAAAGTGTCCGTTTTCTTTTCAGCTCAATATAAAAGCGTAGCAAGCGCATGATCTCTTACTCCTGCAGGGATGTCTGTTTGGGTCCTTTTCTCCCTCTATGCTGCTGGCACTACTCCAGCTGCCCCAGGACCCTCGGCTGGCTCTCACACTGCCCGATGAACTGCTTGAATCAGAGCCTGACTCCCACTGCAGACGTCGCTCTGGACATTTACGCCTCGGTCTGCTCAAACACGTGCCTGTGTTTGTGTAAAAGGAAACAGTTGAACAAAACTGATATACTGTAACTCTCCCCAAAGTTTGGAATAATCATGATTTGTTTTTCATGTTTTTGTAATTTGTTATTTGTAATGCAATTTACTTTTGTGATGGTAAAACTGAATTTTCAGCAGCTATTACTCCGGTCACACGATCCGTCAGAAATCATTCTAATATGCTTATTTAGTGTTCAAGAAACACTTCTGATTATTATCAATGCTGAAAACAGTTGTGTTGCTTAATATTTTATTTTATTGAAACTGGGATACACTAGTTTGGGGTTCATTGGGATTTATTGTAAAAAAAACAAAAACACTTTTATTCAGCAAAGACACATTAAACTAATCAAAACTGACAGTAAAGACACTTAAAATGTTACAAAAGATCTCTAATTCACACTGATTTCTGATGGTTCATGTGACACTAAAGACTGAAGTGATGGCTGCTGAAAATTCAACTTTGCCATCACAGGAATAAATTACATTTTAAAATAGAAAACAATAGACATTCAATTCATATGACATGCAAAAATAACATGAGCAAACTATTTAATCAAATCCTCATGGATATAAGATGTCCCTCCCCATCCAAATTAAATGCACTTTGAAATTTGTGTTTTATGTTGTCTTCAACAACTGCAGCGCCATTATGATGTTCAGGGACACTGCTATGATGCCATGCACACATACAGTGGTGAGACACAGGAACAGCTGGAAATCACTTCCTCACCGCTGTGTTTGAGAGGGCTGTCTGGGTTGGCTCCTATTTTAGGTAGATCAGGTTTCATGTTGCGGGTTCCAGCAGCATTACGTAGAAATTGTCTCTCACTCTCCGTTACCATGACAATGCTGTTTTCAGGAACCCTGTTTGATTACCAGAATGAAAAATACATAAAATACTAATATATATATATATATAGTAATATTAACAATAATACAATATCTAGACATGTTTGTATATTGAATTTTAAACTGTAATTATATATCTTATTAATATCTGTTGTATTTAAGTATTTTGCCATATCTTCACAGGCTATTTCAAGGCAGACACAGATTCAACATTCAATAAATACAAACAATACACTAAATTCAAACATTTAATAAAATTCAACTTAGAATAAAATAAATTATGTATACTTAAAACGATTCTTTAATTGTACTTAAATATGTTTAACAGTAAGGGGCGTGCAAAAAATATTGGTATTTAAGTAGTTCTTATTTATAACATGTTGCCTCAAAGCTCTTTTATTCATTTAATTATATTTTAACGCCATTTTCGCATTTTGATATGACAATATAGCAGTTACGGAAATCGAAGTAGGAGAGGGGGGGGGGGAGATCAGGAAAGGTCCACGAGCCAGGACTCAAACTTTTTTTTTTTAATGTATGATCTATTTTTTGCAATAATCATACATTTAAAATACTCCATATTCATATGCATAAATCTGGCTTTTAAATTGTGATTTATATACTTTAGCTAATAACTGATTTAAAATAGCAAAAATCAAATTAATCACGAGTTGTTAAAATAGTGTATTTATTAGTATATATACATAATAAGCTATGTTACAATAACAATTAAAGCAATCATAGTGTGGCCATGCTTTTTAGCGTAAATAAACTGTTTTGAACCGAATCAAAATCCATTGAATCGTGAATCAAGTCAATTTGCTGTCAGTTAACACTCCTACTTGGAACTCTATATAACTAACATCTGAAGGTTTAAAGCTGAACTGTGCAGATACTTACCCAGGAATGAGCTCCGCTGCCTTTCTGCGACTTCTGCCTGTGTTTTTCTTTGCTTTGGTGTTGGTGGCTGACACTCCAAGTTCTGCATCTTTCTCTGGTCTCTTCTTCGGACTGCTGCCTCTTTCTGTCTTCTGAGTGAGGGGCACAAACAATTCATTTGTCTTAGAAAGAACCTCAACACTGAGAAGCTTCTGTTAAAACATTCACAAAGAGGCAGATTTTAGCAGTGTAAAAAAAAAAGGTCATCCTCTTACGTTGTATTATGTCTCTTACCTCTTCATCTACATTATCCCTTTTTTCTGCATTATTTTTTCTTTTACACTCCTCGTTTTCCATTGCTTCATCTACAGGCTGAGGGACTCTGCTTGCTGGGATGTTTTCTGGTAATCTAGGAAGTGTTTCCATAGGAAACATATCAGCTGGCAATGCCTTGTCCTCTCTGGATTCTCTAAAGTACTCTTTCTTCTCAGCTGGGAGAAGGGTTTCATCTAATATGTCATTGTTATTGTTGTTGTTATTACAAACTTCTGAATCAAGCTCAAAGGTGCGGTCTCCATCTTCACCAGTGGGAGGACTGCAAAAGTCTGAGGAAGCAGGAACACTAGCAGTAGCAGTTGCAGGGCTATTTTTATATCTACTGTATAGGAACGACACCTTAGTTTGCTTCTTTGGAGGCTGGGATGAACCTCCAGAAGCTTTCTTGGATGAGGACTGTGACCGAATTGTCCCATTGGCCACGGCTGGAGATCCTCTCCCTTTGCCTTTGTCAGAGGGATGGCTTGTGTCAGTGTAGTTCTTACAACTGCCTTTTCCTCTACTAAAGAAAAAAAAAAGAACAAAGAATAATTAAAAATGGATCTAACTCACATAGTTGGCTATAACATACAGCCAACTAGTATCAAGCAAAAATAAATAAATAATTGTAATATATTGCAATAGCAATTTTAACTGTGATATGATTCTTCAAAACATCACATTTCACTGCTGCTTAGATTTCCAGGTAACACTAGCAGTAGCAGTTGCAGGGCTATTTTTATATCTACTGTATAGGAACGACACCTTAGTTTGCTTCTTTGGAGGCTGGGATGAACCTCCAGAAGCTTTCTTGGATGAGGACTGTGACCGAATTGTCCCATTGGCCACGGCTGGAGATCCTCTCCCTTTGCCTTTGTCAGAGGGATGGCTTGTGTCAGTGTAGTTCTTACAACTGCCTTTTCCTCTACTAAAGAAAAAAAAAAGAACAAAGAATAATTAAAAATGGATCTAACTCACATAGTTGGCTATAACATACAGCCAACTAGTATCAAGCAAAAATAAATAAATAATCGTAATATATTGCAATAGCAATTTTAACTGTGATATGATTCTTCAAAACATCACATTTCACTGCTGCTTAGATTTCCAGGTAAAAAAAATAATAAAATCACACAGAAAAACATTTAAAACAAAACAAAAAAGCAATCCAACCTCAAAGGACCAGAGCAGTATATGGAGCAGCACTGTGAACCAAATTAATCTAAGACACTGAAAATATGTTTGTGTGTGTGTGATTCTCAGTGATGCTGTCTCACCTGACACCATTTGAGGAGATGTGGCTGACACTACTATTTTCACGAGGTACAGAGTTGTGATTGCTACGTGGACTTGGTGTGGAGAACTCGCTTAGAATGTGCTGAGCTTGATGGAAAGCCATCAGACACACACCAGCTAGAGAGGAACTGCAGAGAGAACAGGTTTTATATTAATGCATAGAATACATTTACACGCACAGGGTAACATTTTGTGGGTTTAAGAATGTATATGGACTGCTAACCAGGTGAAGACCAGTGTGATGACCCAGAAAGACTCCTCCCAGCTGGGTCCTGGTACCACCTGAGCACACAGGGGCAGCATGTGGTGAGGAAGAGTCACATTGAGGGTGAAGTGGAAAAGGGAGCCACGTTCTGTCACTAGGGTCAAGTCTCTGATTACCCACGAAGATGTGAAGTCTGGAGTAAATCTAGAGAGATACAGAGAGAACCAGTTGAGATGAGGAGAAAATAAAAAGATAAAAAAGAGGGGGGAAATATGCTGTTGAATATGGTGTCATACAGCCCACCCAAAAATGAAAATTCTGTCAGTATTTACTCATCAAGTTGTTCTTTATTTTGTGGAACATGAAAGATATTTTTAAGAAAGTTGGTAACCGAACAGTTTCCGTGCATACAGGTTTAGAACAACACAAGGGTAAGTAAATGATGACAGTGTTTTTATTTTGGGGTGGACTATCTCCTTTGTGCACTATCCTTTTTAAATCATAAAAATACAGCAAGAAAAAAAAAAGTCAGAGAGACATCATAGCCAAACTGAACATTAATACTTATTACATTCAATCATATAAACCAATAATAATATGTTGCTAAACACTTTCAGAGACTAGAAATAGAAAAGGCAATAAGAATGGTAACTAGCATGAAAAAGGGAGCCTAAAATGGGGTTTTAGGGATATGACGTTGTCTGATCAGTCAGGCAATTTGGGTCTAAATCATAAATTTACTATTTAATTCTTAAAATATGCAAGCATATACAGGTGCATTTCACGAAAATAGAATATTGTGAAAAAGTGAAAAAAAAATGTGTAACTCATTTCAAAAAGTGAAACTTTCATATATTCTAGATCCATTACATGTAAAGTAAAAAATTTCAAAAGTTTTTTGTTTTAATTTTGAGGATTAGAGCTTACAGTTTAGGAAAGTCAAAAATCCAGAATCTCAAAATTAGGGCTGTCGCGATTTGTCAATTTTATTCAACTATTCGATTTTTAAATATCCTCGACTTCATTTTGCTTGCATCGACTGACCGGCAAAAAAACGGAAGTGGCACATTTCACAGACGAGAATGTTTAAAACACACTATTAGTCTGTTTTCCAAGGCTGCATGATGTATTAAACCCATTTAAAAACCCATAATTAAGCAAAATTGTGAATTCACAAACACTACGATTTAATTAAATGATTATATGCGAAGCAGTTCTAATACAGTATATGCACTTTAATTATTTACCGTGGGTAGGTTAAGTACATGCGTCACACAGCGGCTCCGTTCACAGTAGTTCCACAGGAACTGTTATTATTTACATGTGTAGAGCGTCTCAAAGTCCATCTCTGCATGTTGTTGTGAGTTTGGGTTTATTATAACGTTCATCTGGGAACGCAACATGCGACATTTCAATTTTATTTGTAAGGTAAATCATTTATAAATCTACGCAAACACAATCGCACGAAGCCGTGCTTTAAATGCTACTTAGGAGTCGCTATCCATTTGTCAAGTGCTGAAATGTCACCTTATAGAATGGCTCGTAATTGTGTAGTACACGCTCGTTTATTGAAATGTTAACCTGAGTTCCAGACAACTCGGATATAATAACTATAATACAATATTATATAATATTTTACATAATAATAATCACATTGCACTTGAATAGAGTTAAAGGTGTAATCAGCCGATTGTCCTGCAGGTGACCGCATAAATCTGTCTTCTTACGATGTACTTAGGGCTTTAAGATTACTCCAGAGCACTCGTAGATCTACAATGATTTTCAAGTGTTACTTAAGTCACGATGCTTTTGGGAAACAGACCGTAATATTAAGATCAGTCGTACGATTGTTTTTACAAACTTCTTAGGCTTACGAAGCTTTTGGGAAACGCAGCCCAGGTCTCGTCCCATTCGTCGGTATTTGTGATATCACAAATCCCGGAAAATATGCGTTGTAGTCCAAATGAGTCGTTCGTTGTAGTTTTTGAAAAATGATTTCTGTTAAATAAAATATTTCCTTTTGAATTGGACTTTGAGCTTTGTAACTTTGCAGATCTTTTTTATGCTCAAACAGCAACATTACGGACTAACTAAAGTTGAAAAAGTAAAATTACTTAAAGGGGTCCTATTATGCTTTTTCAAAGACTATTGTTCACTTACATCTACTTTTATTACCACAAAAAATATATTATAATTATAGGGCACTATGAAATTACTTTATTAATCGTTTTACTTCCAAAGTCTTTTTTTTTTTCAAATCTTTTATACTCTGTTTTAATGGTTAAATTAAATTGTATTAATCAAAAAGCCTGTCTCTAATTAATTGAGTTTTACAGTTTTATCTTTACCAAATTCTGTTTTCCATTCTTTTCTGGATTCCATTTGAATGGTTCCATTAAATTTTTATAATCAAAAGCATCTCCAATTAATTGATTTTATTTTTTTTAAAAGCTTTTTTTTTTTCAGAAATACTGCACATTTAACATTTTTCTCCTAAACAAATTCTGGACTATGAGATGGACACTTCCTTCTTGCACTTTATGTTGCACTTTACTTTTTTACTTTTAGATTTAATTTGGTTTAATTAAATATAGTTTAATAAAATATTCTTAAGTAAAATTGTTGATTTTTTTGTGTGGGAAATCAATCGTTTAGATTAATCAAAATAAAAATAGTCATTAGTGGCAGCCCTACTCTCAATATTAGAATATTTCCTAAGATCAATCAAAAAAAGGTTTTGCAAAACAGAAAAGTTCAAGTTCTTTAAAGTATGTTCATTTTTGCACTCAATACTTGGTTGGGGCTCCTTTAGCACAAATGACAGCATCAGTGAGGTGTGGCATGGAAGCGATCAGCCTGCGGCACTGCTGAGGCACTTGAGCCTTCAGCTCGTCTGTATTGTTGAATCGACGGTTTCTCATCTTTCTCTTGAAAATATCCCATAGATTCCATATGGGGTTCAGGTCAGGCATGTTGGCTGGCCAATCAAGCACAGTAATATCATGTTCAGCAAACCGCTCGGAAGTGGTTTTGTCACTGTGCTAAAGTCTTGCTGGGAAGGAAATCAGCATCTCCATAAAGCTTGTCAGTAGATGGAAGCATAAAGTGCTCCAAAATCTCCTGGTAAGACGGCTGCATTGACTTTGGACTCGATAAAACACAATAGACCAACATCAGCAGATGTCACAGCACCCCAAATCATCACTGACTTCGGAAACTTCACACTGGACTTCAAGCAGCTTGGATTCTGTGCCTCTCCAGTCTTCCTCCAGACCTTGATTTCCAAATGAAATGCAAAATTAACTTTTCTCTCAAAAGAGGACTTTAGACCACTGAGCAACAGTCCAGTTCTTTTTCTCCTTAGCCCAAGTAAGATGCTTCTGATGTTGTTTCTGTTTCAGAAGTGGCTTGGTAGCCCTTTTCCTGAAGATGTCTGAGCGTAGTGACTCTTGATGCACTAACTCCAGCTTCAGTCCACTCCTTGTGAAGCTCTCCCAAGTGTTTGAATTGGCTTTGCTTGACAGTATTCTGTGTTAAGTGTTCCCTGTTGCTTGTGCACCTTTTCCTACCCAATTTCTTCCTTCCAGTCAACTTTGCATTTAATATGCTTTGATACAGCACTCTGTGAACAGCCACCGCTTTCAGTAATGACCTTCTGTGACTTACCCTCTTTGTGGAGGGTGTCAATGATCGTATTCTGGACCATTGTCAAGTCAGCAGTCTTCCCTATTATTGTGGTTTCAAAGAACAAGAGATACCCGGAATTTATACTGTAGGAATCGTCATTTAATGAAACTCAAATGTAAATATTCTAATATTTTGAGATACTGGATTTTTGACTTTCATGAGCTGAAAGTTCTAATCATCAAAATAAAAAAACTTTTGAAATGTTTTACTTTACATGTGATGAATTTAGAATATATGAAAGTTTAACTTTTTTTCACTTAATTTTTTGAGATGCACCTCTACAAGTTGTTATCACAACACTGCTGTCAATGCATTTGCTAAACGAAGAATCTGCCACATGAGGAAGACAACCATGTTTCATGGGAAAAATTATCAGCCAAGGAGGACTATTTAATACCTAGAGAAACCCATCGTTTTGCAATCCCATTCAATGGTAGTGACTCGGCTTATATAATAATGTAATGTTACCAAATAAACTGGTTGCTTGCAAAACATTCTTAGTTCGTCAGAATACACAGCAATTTTTCTTAAATGGTCGTCAATAGAACCAGATGATGTAGATATAAAATATCCCAGCAGGGGCAGGCATTAGGAAACATAGGTAACACATGTTACTACCTTAAATTCACTTGTAAATCTATCATTTGAAATCTATCATCTCAAAACTCTATCGTATTCAAAAACAAAGGGATGGAATAAGATCTGCACTTGGCTTAAAATACTGATATTGAATAGTACGCACAGTAGCGTAAACAACTGAAAATCTTACTTTCACATTAACACTCTTAAGACTTACGCAATTGTGATTTCTGAGGACGAGTTGTAGTCCACTCTGAAAGATCTGCAGTGTTGCACCTCAAAGCCATAACCTTGACATTTATATCCATTAATGTTCATGGATACTACAGTCAATGGCAACTCGCCTGCATTCTCCACTTTAAAGCTTTTCTGGATGGCAAACAAGGGCTTACTTGATCGTAAACCTGTGAAAAGACAACAAAGAGAAACAAAAATGCAGTAACACTTTGTAATAATAATTTCATTAACAAATCACTAACAAACATTATAATGCTTAAGGGATTATTAGTTAATACATATTCAAATATATTAACTAAATGTACACTACAAAAGATTTTAACATGTTACACAATGATTAAAAGCTTTTGTTAATGCACATTTTTGCTGCTATTGAGGTGTGATACGGGTAAGGTTAGGGACATGTTTGGTAGTATGGGTAGCTTTAAAGGTTGGCTAAGTGGTCAGAAGTGTACAGGGGTTAATTTGATTAATATAAGGGAACACGATTCAATCTGTTAATATTACACTGTTTTGATAAATTAATGAAGTTCTCATGAAAAAAATGATGTTTTCTCCTGTTGATGTATGATTCAAGGAATATCCATGTTTTGCACCCACATTACAATGCGTTTGATGTCTTTAGCAAGCATTTAGCTAAACTTAACTAACCACCCTTTACACAAACGTTTTTCCAGTAGCTAAAAGTCCAATGCCTATAAAGATACTAAATGTTTATAAACATTTACAAATGATGAATAGTCTCAACTTTAGATTGGATACAGCAAAAACCTGAACAAATGATTAATAAATGATTTGTACACATGCATAAATAGGGTGAATTCAGTTAATTTGGGACACATTTTGCCATTGAGATAACTGCTCATAAAAGTACTAATGATTAGTAAACATTTATAAACATTTACAAATTATGAATAGTCTTTAGATTGGGTACTGCAAAAACATGAACAAATCATTAATAAATGATAATAAAGATAAAAAAATAATAATACAAATTATAAATAAAGTCTACACAACAGAGTCCAATTATACTACCTTTACAAACTGTGATTATGAGTTAACGAATAATGTTAACATGATAAGTTTGCAAAGTGCTTAAAATTACTAAGCTATTTTTTTTCACAACATTTGTTAACGTAAAAAAGAGCAGCAGATAATATAAGAAAATGAAGTTTAATGAGCATTCAAAAGTACATTAACAAACAAGCTTTTAATCATTGTTTAATTTGTCAGAATTTGTAGATTTTTAAAAACTGCATGCTTGTAAGAACTGAAAGTTTAATGACATTTGTAAACATTAACTAATGATCCGTTAAGCATTATATGTTTTTTAAAGATTTATTAATGAAACTTTTAAGCCTCGTTCAGACTGTCAGCCCAAACCCGATTTTATGCATATCCGGATGGAATCTGATTTGAATAACTGACTGTCCACACAGTGTATCGCAACTGTTCATATCCGATTTGTGTGCCCATAAGCACGCTTTCGTTTTACGGAATGTGCGTTGGTTTCTATGGCAATGGCGTTGCATTATTATGCCAACGCTAAAAACAACAATAACAGCAATACAGTTTGCAATACAGATGTTGTCTTACAACATGACAACAAGTTGCCGTCGCGCTGGATTATTATTATTATGGATTTCGTCTTATGAGGCAGCAGCAGAAACGCAGGAAGCTGGAATGTGCGGCTTTAATCTGTGCTGCCGTCTCCGCTGGTTTCATAACTCAGATCGCAACAACACCAGCTTGTTTCTGTAAAGATGTTCATTATGTTTTCTACAAAAACGTTTGACGTTTTTACATTTTAGTGGCGTGAAAAAGCTAGGCTAAATCTGATCTGACCGGTCAGACTCAAACGGATATCCAGGAATGCGATTTAAATAGGATTCCATACCACATACGTAGCTCGAAACGGATTTGCAAAAATCGGATTTCAAGTAGTTCGTTGCCGTTCAGACTATTTAAATATGATCAGATTTCAAATCGGAATTGCACAAAAATCGGATTTGGGCTGACAGTCTGAACGAGGCTTTAATCACTGTAAACCATCTGTCAAAATAATTCCATGATCAAGTACATGATCATATTAACTGAAAGTAATGACATTCATAAGCATTTAAATTTACATTGAATAACGATTTGTTAATCATTAGGTAATGTTTCGTAAGTTCCTTAGTAAACATTAACAAGCACATTATCTCATATTTCTAGGTATGTGAATATGTATTAACAAGTGATCTGTTAAGCATGTATAATGTTTGTTAAATTATTTATTAATGAAAGTTATTATAAAGTGTTTTTCAACAAACTCTTAGAAATGACAGGAGAAGCTCAGCTCACCATCTCTGCACTCCATGAGGGTTGACTGGGGCACATTGAAGCGCAGTGAGGCTGCAGGCCCAGGGAGCTTCCCTCCTACTCTCAGGAGCTCCTTTGCCCCAAACCCTTTAACCAGAACCATGTCAAACACGGTCAGGTTGTTCCTGTTAACAAACAGATAGAGCCACAATTACTGTGTGCTAACAACTAGCATAGAAACTAGGGATGCACCGATACCACTTTTTCCAGTACTCGCCCGATACCGATACTTTTATTTTTGGTACTTGCCGATACCCAGTACTGATACCGATATTTTTATTGCATTTGTACATTTTTTAAATATTGGGTACAGAAACCAAAAGGGTATGTATAATGTTAGTTGGTTAACTTCATTTATCAAATAGATACAGTCAAACCAAAATTTATTCAGACACCTTCAACATTTCTCACATTATCACAGTTTATTCGCTATAGTTTAGAAAATGGTGACACTGTGTCAGAACAAATTCATCTTGATAATTTTTTCCGTTTTTTTTTATTTTTTTCGTCCGATTTTTCCGGAAGTGTGCACCGAGGGACAGTGAACGTTTGTTCAGCTCAGCTTCTCACGTGTTGGATGAGAAACGAAACAGACTAACGTGTGACAAAGCTGAAATGCTTCTTTCTTTTTTTCATGCACTTTTGAAAAGCCAGAAGTAAACGTCAGTTCTGTAGGCTATAGGATTGATATTTTTTATTTTACCTTAAAATTACATTGACTTAATGTGATTTAAAAAGCACCTGCCGTAGTTAACATTCTGGAATAATTTATTTATTTATATAGCCTACTTTGGTTTTGTTTAGTTTCACTGGTAAAGATCTTTTTTTCTTTACACCAAATTTAGAAACGAAAACAAATGCTGAATGCTGATTAAGTAACATCTTTGTTTGGAGTGTTGAATGTGTTTGGATTGTGGAACTATGCAACTGTTGCCTTTAAAATTACATGGTTACAGTTAATGTTTTCATTTAAGGCCAGTTTATAGTTTCAACCCAATTTAAAAACAAAAGCTAAATGCTTTTGTCAGTAGGCCTACCTATGTTTGTATTGAATGTAGCCTACTTACTGCGCAGTTACTGCTGTTAATTTCAGATAGTTACAGTTGTTGTTTTCAATAGCCAAAACCCAGTTTAGCCTGTTAAATACCAAATAAACATCTTGTTTGTGTGTACTTTTATTCTTTCTTGTTTGTTGCTTGATAAAAAATAAAATAAAATCGGAAATCGGTATCGGAATCGACCAGTTTGCTTGTAAAAAATCGGTATCGGAATTTTTTTGCTCTATGGTACATCATCTTTAATTTAATAGCATTAGAGCTGCTCCATTGCAGCGGTTTAGTACTGTAATCACTCGCTTTGCTGTAATAATGCAGGGAACCACTCGTTATAAATCTCCTAACTATGATATTTTCAGAAATAGAAGTTGCGTTTTTTCATCTGAAACGTGCTGCGATTTATATTCCAAAGCCACTCATATAATGCAGAAACACTCAAGCAAGCAAAACACGCGCAATGCGTGCAGGTATTTGTACTGATGCAGAATGAGAGGACAATAGTACAGCCTAGCGCATTTCAAACAGGATGCTAGATTCACTTTCGCCAGTCACAGACAGTGGGCTAATATTAAACCTAGAAACAGATACATACATAATATGATTTCAGATGTTATGTCTCATTTCTTCATTAATGCTAAATAACGCTACTAAAAAGAAAGAAATGCCTTGGGAACTAACGGAAACAAAATAAGCTGAAGTACTAAAATGACTAAATAAAAATGTGTAATTTGTGTGTAAATACATGTCTTATTTAAATAAACAGCCAATATGTTAATAATAGGCATGCTAATAAGCAACTAGTTAATAGTGAGAATTGGTCTCTATACTAAAGTGTTTTTAAAAAATTTATTCAGACATCATTCAGACAAAAACAAGCAAATCTGCTTAATAATAGGACCCGAAGTAAGGAATAAAATACAAATTTCAAAAACTTCACTACATTTAAAATTAAAATGGAAAATATTTTCATAGAAATTAATTAAAAGTATTAATAAAAACTATAATAGATATATATATATATAAAAAAAAAAACACTGCTTACACTGCTTTCCTAGGAAAATTTTAAAAATTGTGATTTGTAGACCCGAATAAATCATGCAAGTTAAAAAAAATCTTGCAATGCCATGGGCATTTCTATAATTAAAACACATTTTACTATTTAAGCCAAGCTCGGAAATCATTTATTGGGTAGAAGCTGTGAATAAATTATTATTTTTTAAATCCTTTATCCGTAATCCTCATCCAGTGAATCATGATGGACTGGAAGAGTCATGTAAATTCAGTGGGTAAAAAGTGTGGGAATCTTGAAGAACATTGGTGAAATGTAATCATTTTGATTCATTATTTTATATTAATTATTAGGGCTTTTTTTAATTTACAGAAACTAAATTAAGACAAGTTTTCAAAACAAACTGTTTAAGACAATGGTTAACCTTGGAGTCAAAAAGGTTGAGATCCATTGGTCTAGAAAAAACACTTGTGTGTGTTCAGTTGTGTTTATCTCACCTGCTCTGGACAAATGGAGAGGACAGAGCCGTTCACACGCTTCAGAAGACTCAAACATAACACCTCCCTGCTGAGGAAAGAAAGTGATCATTCAGACAAAAACGAGCAAATCTGCTTAATAATAGGACCCGAAGTAAATAAATTAATTACTGTCTATGTGCTCTCTTTTCAATGCATTCTTGTCTATGCAGTAGAGAATGATTTTAATCCATCATTAGGTTTCCATCAACACAGCAAGAGGATGAGAACCTCTTATTTAAGAGTTTTCATGCTGATGTAGTCAAGCTTTACCTTTGAGGCAGTAGAATACGTTTGGAGTTGAAGCTCCATTGGAACCCCTACATTGGTTGTCAGGGTAACTGTGGTTTTGAGGTTTGTGGGTAAAGATTTGCTGAGCAGTTGAAGAGACAGAAGCTTCCAGCTACCAGGGCTCACCTCCAGGGACTTTGTCAAATTTACAACCTAGAAATTGGGAAAATTTACATCTTAGTAAAGCTGTAAAAACTGTATCGTTTGAACTAATATAGGCTACTATTGTTGTGAATTGTACTTTTGTATACTATTAAAAGCAATTATATTATTTAGTTTTTATTATGTATTTTAAGTACTACGTTGACGAAGTAAAAAAAAAAAAAAAAAGTTTAAATCGAGTCACTAACCCACCAACTACTCATTATTTCAATTTCAAAGCAGGAAAAAAATCCACATTCTTTATTTAGTCGCAAAGTGTCCTGCAATCCATTCATCTGTTCTAAAGTCATGTGGTCACTGGACATTCAGGTCTCAGGTGTTCAGATAAACATTACCTTAAAGAGTTTATGCTGCGAAATGGAGATGTTAGTGATTCTGAAGGTGATGGGGAAGGGGATGGACAGCCAGAGCTCAACATGCTCTGAGCCCCTCTGCTTCTGTCTGAGCTGAACTAAAGAACTCAGCTCAGAGCTGGACCATCTGAAACAGAGAGGAACAACTTTGTAAAAACAAGGCTAGTAGAACTGCATCAAAAATCATGAACACAGCATTCACTAGGTTACATTATCCTAAATATAAAGAGTTGAAGCACACTGCCATTCACTTAGACAAGTTTATAATGTGTAAGTTTTTAAAATGTTTTAGAAAATACTCTTATTAATCATTAGAGGCTAAAAAAAACTTTTAAAAATGCAAAGTTGAATTTATTTGATCAAAAATACAGTAAAAAAAAACAGCAATATTGTGAAATTAACAATTTAAAGAGTTCTATTTTTATATATATATATATAAATTCTTTATATTTCTTCAGTGTTCCAGTATTCACTGATTTAAAACATCCTTGCTTATTGCTTATTATTTTCCTTTAAAAAAAAATCATATTGACCAAAAATTTTGAACGGGTAGTGCATTTATGCAATTATTGATGTTTTTTTTTTTTATTACGTAACATTTGAAAAATGTTATTTTTGGCCTATTGTGCATTTGCTGTACAATTATTTAAATGTATTTAAAAACAGATCATGTTAATGATAAAAGCATCAAGGTAATTTGCAGTAAATACACTCTTAATACAGAAATCATTACCTGTGTGTGCTTTCCAGCAGTGGATATAAATTCACCGTTCTGTTTGCTAAAATCTGCAGGCCAATCTGTCTTGGACACCTTTTACTTTTAGCTGACAAAGAGCCTACAAACAAAAATATGAAAGACAGTGGAATAAACACAGCTAACATCATATCATGTCCAGTATGAACAATCAGAATACACATGAGAATTTTAGGCTACTGACGTCTACAGAAGAGTGAAGCCACTTGAGTGAAATTAGTAACGGAAGGCTTGAGTAGCACTTCAGTGAGTTCTACACTGCTGTCTGTCCTAGACAAGAGCTGGATCTCCTTAAAAAGACACAAGACATGTCATGAAGCACATGTTTATAAACCATATCAGTTTATATGCATAATTAACCTCATTAGAACCTGTGCTGTCCTGTGCACACATACCTTAAGAAAGAGCTTTTTAACCCCCGAGTTCAACATGAACACTCCTATTCTGGGATCTGCTGGAATAAAAATACATAATTATGAAAAATTAACTTAGAAAAAATAAAGAAGAATGCACAGTAGGAAAGCCACAAGGTGGTGCTATGATACCAGGGAAAGTTATTTGTTGGGCGTTGGTGGCCAAGCAACAAAAAGCTTCAAATCCAGGTAGGTGTAACTCATGAACTAGGAAGTTATGGTTCCCTTCCATCTCATTATCTGTGCTTACAGTTTAGCCCAGGACATTTCAGAGCGGACCTTTCCTTGAAAATTAACACGCTGTTGGGTTAATTCACTAAAACCATTCACCAATTTCATACTAAACTATATTTATTCATGCCTGAGTGATTAAGCAATTATGCATCAGATGAAAGGAGGATCTTATTAGAGTAAAAACATTTCCATAAGGAAGTGAAATAGAGTCTATGCTCATTATCTTAGTGTTTATTGAAAAGTTCAAGTAGGCTGCATGATGGTTTTGAAAGCAGAGATGAAATCTATGACAAGGTGTCTCCAGGTAATATAATTATTTCCACATGTCTGTGGTACAGATGAAATAAGTGACTCATTAGATCATTCAATTACTGAAAATTAATGCAGACTCAAGGTGCTTTGAGTCACATTACCACGCCAGAGTGTGCATTCATTTTTGACAAGGTGTCTCCAGGTAATATAATTATTTCCACATGTCTGTGGTACAGATGAAATAAGTGACTCATTAGTCATTCAATTACTGAAAATTAATGCAGACTCAAGGTGCTTTGAGTCACATTACCACGCCAGAGTGTGCATTCATTTTCAGTGGCATGTTACTAAAACTAAACTAAAATGCTTATTTCCAGTGTTCATTACAATAAGGAAACAGACATAAGTACATGTAGTTGAGTTTAATAACATGTACACTAACATTAAAAAGTTTAAATGCTTGAATGGATTTTTTTTAAGTCACTTATGCTCACCAAGACTACATTTTTTTTTTTAATACTGTACAGCAATATTGTTAGATTCTGTTATAATTTGTTTTTTTATTTATTATTTTAATATATTTTTAAACTGTAATGCAATCCTGTGATGACAAAGCTGGTGTCTTTGGTGTCACATGATCCTTTAGAAATCTTTCCAATATGCTAATTTGGCGTTTAAGAAATATTTCTTCTTAATCATAATGCTGAAAACAGTTGTGGTGATTAATATGTTTGTGAAATAAATTTTTCAGGATTCTTTAATGAACAGAAAGTTAAAAAGAACAGCATTTATATGAAGTTAAAATATTCTGCAACATTTGAACCGTCTTTACTGTCACTTTTGATCAATTTATTGCATCCTTGCTGAAAAAAAGTATTTCTTATCTGATTTAATTCACTGCAGATTCAGTCTTAAAGAACAAATTTCAAAAACAAGTTGAACTGGGTGCAGTGTAAACAAAGACCTGTTTGCTTTTGCATATCTCTCTGCCTCAATTGTTGTTTGTTTACAATGAACCTGTTGCATTAGATAACCAATTATATAGCTATATAGAGTATGATATGTTTGTGCTTTCTCTTAAAAAGATAAAAAAATGATATCGTTGTGATTCTGAGGTTATTTATGTTATGACATTTTTACATCACTAGGATGCATTTTTATGATCTTGCCTAGGGCTCCACGAACCCATGAGTGCAATCCAGGAGTCCAAACAAAAAGTGGAAACGTGTTAAAACAGAATCATGCCAATCTCACAAGGGGAGTGTGAAAACACGATGAACACAGCGGCCACGTAACAAACTGCCCAGTGACACCACAAATTTGTTCAAACTGAAAACAGTTTTTGGTGTGTTGTATGAGAGTCATAGCAAAAGATAAACGAACGCTGATAAGGTCAAAATACAGTCAAAGATCACCAGGAAAAATAAATAAAAGACAATAAACAAAGCTAGCAAAACGCTTACAAAAATTGAAACAAATATTGCTAGTAGGATATGAATCAAAAATCATGTCATGCATTTCTTGTATCTCCAGCAGAAAACAAACAAGTTTATAATCTAAAAGTGTGACGAGCAAGATGTGTAAAAAAATTAATGGATAAAGCCACTTAAAAATATGGATAAAAGTACAAATAAACATACAGACAGCATCTTCTGGTGGTGGGAGGACCAGCAGCACCACAATATTCTCTAGCACGTAAGGCTTGAGTTTGTCCAAGTGGGTCGGCCTTTCCCCTCTTTCAGAAAGACTGATCTGAAGTGCAATTCTACCTTCCTCGGATACTAAACACCAACCCTGTGAGGAAAGAGAGAGAAACGTAAAGACATATTTCATCGACACGCTAGACACCCGTCAACACAAATCACAGGAATGCAAAGCGTTCCAACTAAAGATGTGCCACATCCCAATATTCAATCACTAAATAACTTAGTAAATCAATGCAACTAAAGCCGTCTCCTCGCTAGATGATTATATGTATAACATTAGATGTTGGTGTGCATGGTCTCTGAGTGGATGGGTGTTAACTGCACCATCAACTCTCTACTGCGCTATTAGCAGTGTTCCAACATGAAGTTCCAAGACTTTCCAACAAGGACTAACTGGAAGGAGACCTTTAAAAGGGAGCTATACACTTAAGGAGGCTTTTCCTTCTTGCATTCGCACCTACAATGATAAACCGATGGGGATGCAATCTAAAGACGTCGTTTCTATGAACAATACAGTTATGCTAAACAGTAAATGGAAAAAAGTTTGTTTTTCCTCAAGCAATACAATAGAAACAACAATGATAGAGGATGTCAGGCTTGGACATGAGCTTTCATTACTCTCGGTTTATGCCATTAACAAGGGATCTGGTAAGTCTTAGACAATCAATTAAATTAAAAGGGAGAAAACCGTAAAAGATGTAAATAAGCAAGCTGTTTTTCACTGGCTACAGGATCTCCTACATTTCCACTGCCATTAGGAAGTACCTATATTTCCTTATAGGCAGAAATATAAGTAGTAGAGTAATTTCTCAAGGCCTTTTCACACAAGCATGAATGCTTGTTGTGAAATTTGGGCACAATTTTATTATGCTTTTTGTCTGTTCATAAAAAACAGGCTGCAGGAAAATGTCAATTCACTCTCTAAGGTGGCGCTTACAGAAAAGCTACTGAGAGGAAGTGTCTACCAACAATATAAGATATGCAGGTGCAACCAAAAATCAAAAAGCCATATCAGTTGAAAAATGTGCAGCACTCACTCTTGAAGGAGTGAAAACTTTATTGATTAAAATTACGTTTCGGCCGTTATCAAGGTCTTCATCAGATATCAAGCACAGCAATACCAAACCATGCTTTAAACATTCTAGTAATCAGCAACAGGTGTCACTCTGCCAATTAGGGGAGTGGCTTCCAACAAGTACAAACTCCTTTTAATCAATAAAGTTTTCACCCCTTCAAGAGTGAGTGCTGCACCTTTTTCAATTGATATGGCTTATAGAAAAGCAGAAATATGCCAGTTTTCCGGGACACAAAGCGCTGCACAACCTTCAGTTTCTGACACATATGCTGCCAAGTTTTCATACCAAATATTAGTCTTTGTGAGAACAGGCCTTAAAACAGTTCCTGAAACTGAGATTACATCTTACCTGGGGCTGATTGTAGAACATTTTTGGTAAACTGCAGTCAAGCAGCAGACCTAAAATTGTTATATTAGAAGCATCGTCCTGCAGGAGCAAAAGAGAAAGACCACTTAAATTCATTAGCTCAGAAGCTCTTTCAGACCAAATTAAATGATCACAACAATACATCTAATTTACATTATTAATCAGACACTTTCATCTGCAGCAACTTAATATTATTATAAATATATATAACACAACACAAAAAAGCCAGATTTTTTGTGAGGCAGTTTCAATAGTGAACAAAGAAAGTGCTTTAATGATTCTTAGGCAGCAAATGCATCTTCAGAGGCACAGTGCAGCTTTTTTGTTCATTCTTTATGTGTTCTCCATTAAATATGTTAACTTTCATTTCCTCTACCTCTTCAAGCAACATAAATAATTCAATACATTCAAAACCATCAGTCACTAAGATGGGCCCCTTTAAAAGACTCCATCTACAGAAGTGAACTTCTGAAGTGAACTTCTGAATTTACACTCTAAAACTAGTGGCTTACCAAGTGATTTTTGCACAGATTATTTCAATAAATGTTCTTAAATGAAGGGATCTAAATGTGGGATGTGTATGTGACTGTATATGTGAACAATAACTAACCCATTATCTTGAGCAGGGCACTCAAAAATGAAAATTATGTCATCACTTACTCACCTTCATGCCATTCCAAACCTGTATGAATTTCATAAAATGAGGCGCAACATGTTCAGGTTTTTTCCACATAATCAAAGTACATGTTGTCTAGTGCCTTTCAAGCTCAAAATAAGACAACAAATCTCTAATAAAACATAAAAGTAGTTTAAAGTAGATGCACCTGAAGTTCTTTTTTTGTGTTCCACGGAAGAGAGAAATTCATACAGGTTTGGATGACAGAACAAACGGAATTTTAACACTTAATAGCCTGAGGGGGCTTATCCTGTTGAAACGTTCATGCATATTTTTGCAAACACAACAGCAAGACCCTGATTGTCCATGGTGAAAAATGAGGCACTGCAATATGACAGCGAATCGGTGTGAAATGTCAGAAGAACCTGTTTAATTGAGCACCCTTCTTCCAAGAGCGGCAAGATTTCAGCAGTTGTCAATAGGTGAAACATCCCTTACTGTTATCAAGTCTGTAACTTCAACAATACAGTATCTTTACATGTCAGCTGTACAGCACTTAGCACATAAAAGTAGTTTAAAGTAGATGCACCTGAAGTTCTTTTTTTGTGTTCCACGGAAGAGAGAAATTCATACAGGTTTGGATGACAGAACAAACGGAATTTTAACACTTAATAGCCTGAGGGGGCTTATCCTGTTGAAACGTTCATGCATATTTTTGCAAACACAACAGCAAGACCCTGATTGTCCATGGTGAAAAATGAGGCACTGCAATATGACAGCGAATCGGTGTGAAATGTCAGAAGAACCTGTTTAATTGAGCACCCTTCTTCCAAGAGCGGCAAGATTTCAGCAGTTGTCAATAGGTGAAACATCCCTTACTGTTATCAAGTCTGTAACTTCAACAATACAGTATCTTTACATGTCAGCTGTACAGCACTTAGCCAAATTATAAGTGAATAGCAGGGTTACATCATCTCTCCTCAAAAATGTATGTGGTAATTATCTGGTCATGCTCCCTTTTACCTAATAAGGTAGAACCAACACAGTGTCACGCCACATGTAACCACCTTAAATTTATCTCAAATTAGTCAGTGTGAAGGTACAGGTTTGAATATACATTCACACATGTTCCTCTATCGTCAGATAATCAAAATAAGGATGAGGCTCATCTTGTGCCAGCAGACCAGTCTGTTGGACCTCAGGAGGAATAGCCATTTATATTAAGTTATCATTCAGCACAAGAGCCAGTGAAATTGCAGTGGCTTCATCCAAACACAGAGCTTACTTTGAATGTGGCCGCAACAACAGAAGCACATCTATATTTAAACTTGTTTATGAGAGCCGAGACCCTGCAGAACTCCTATATGAGATAAAACAGACCATCGTCTACCTCTGTCAAACCATCAACTCTGAGAAGAAATATACAGTGGTCTTGTGATGCAGGTTTCTATTGTGAAGATTATAAGACGGGTAAACAGCAATGCTTATAGTAACATGTATATGAAACAACTGCCAATATCTGGCATACCGTCTTGGAACTAAACTTAAATGTGATGTATTAACTGCAAAATTGATCATTTGATATTCATTATATTATTTATTAACAGCTCTGATGTTAATGAAGTTTTTATATTTTTATAATCGTCTAACAAAGCAAAACCAAAATGTCTCCAACTATCCCGTTGAGTACAAGTACCCCGGTTGACTGCATAAGAACCCAGTAGTCTAAGAGGCCATTCAAACAGAGGTTTAGAGATACTTTTTTACTGAAAATTCAGCTTTGCCATCACAGAAATACATGACATTTTAAATTATACAGTAAATATATAGAAAAAATAAAACATTTAAAATTGTACACTATTAGTGTTTTTACTGTATTTTGGATCAAGTAAATGCAGCTTTCATACTGAACTAAAACAACTTTTGAAAGGTAATGCGATAAAAAAAAATTTGTAGGCGTTTCTAAACTTTAACTGGTAGTGTAGACTTGAAGACTTTGTTTCTTCATACAAGTAGTAGTAGTAGTTTGACACAGTGATCAGCTTTGCCATCACAGAAATACATGACATTTTAAATTATACAGTAAATATATAGAAAAAATAAAACATTTATTTAAAATTGTACACTATTAATGTTTTTACTGTATTTTGGATCAAGTAAATGCAGCTTTCATACTGAACTAAAACAACTTTTGAAAGGTAATGCGATAAAAAAAAATTAGTAGGCGTTTCTAAACTTTAACTGGTAGTGTAGACTTGAAGACTTTGTTTCTTAAGTAGTAGTAGTAGTTTGACACAGTGGTGTTACAGCTTTTATCAGGTCACCAGAAACTTACTCACAATGAAAACATGACTACAGAAGATAACATACTTTACACGACCTGAATACTAATATATATGTCAATGCAGATTGCTTTGGTGATTAAAGTGAATTTGTTCGATGACAGTCATACAGTATCACACTATTCTGACAATTGCAAAAGATTCTGTACTATTTAAGCTTGTTACTCATCAGTGTGTACTGTAATATACATAACTGCCCTACATTTCCAGAAAGACACAGTGTGACCTTGATTCAGTTAACAACAGTTATTACACGGCTCTGTGGAATACTTGATTCTGATTGGTCAGTCACGACATTCCGAGGTATGCTATCCCTCGATGATAACCGGTAAAAGCGAATAACACAGGCTCATCCGGGTAACAGCAGTCGGCGCTGTACTCTTGCTTGAACAATTTTTTCTTAGTGGAAGATTTCTGCACCGTTTCCCTTAAATGTCCGTCTAGTTTGAATTTGCCGCTTGCTCGCAACTGCTGTCTTCACGGAAGCTTTGCGTTCAAATATTTCAACTCAAATCAATATTTCGCGTCTAATTATTTACTTATAATTACACGGCTACTTGCCACATAAGGATAATGTACATCCAGCCGGTTATCATCTCAGAATAAACCCCTTCAGGCTGATACAAGATAAACATTTTCGTCTTAATTCTTTTATTGCCTTAATTATTTTTGTGGTGAAATGTTGTGCAATAAGTGGTTTGACTGCACCGTTTCCCTTAAATGTCCGTCTAGTTTGAATTTGCCGCTTGCTCGCAACTGCTGTCTTCACGGAAGTTTGCGTTCAAATATTTCAACTCAAATCAATATTTCGCGTCTAATTATTTACTTATGTGGCAAGTAGCCGTGTAATTAGAAGGATAATGTACCTCCAGCCGGTTATCATCTCAGAATAAACCCCTTCAGGCTGATACAAGATTCAGCCTGATCACCCTGTCGGGGTTCATTCTGAGATAACAACCGGCTGGATGTACATTATCCCTTACTTAACAAACATCTGAAAGAGCATTGTTATGAACAAGGCAAACAAAAAACACATACATTTTGCCACCCCGAGCTCTGGTCATGAATATTAAATTGTTTTTGTAATTAGGGTTGCAACGGAGCGGAAAATTTACGAAAACTTTCCATGGGAACTTCGTCTGGGGAATTTTCCAAGTTTGAAACTTACCAGGAATGTATGGGAATTTACGGGGATTTGGGGGAATTAATTGGAAATTTATAAAACTGTATCATATACAAACATAAATATAAACATTTGGTTTAATCATAGGCTCACATGCATGTAAACTAATACAAATTTTAAAAATTAAGATCCTTTTTCAGGATTTATTGATGAATAAAAACTTATGAACAGTGTTTATTCAAAATAGAAATATTTTCTAACAATATAAGTCTTTACTATTACTTTTTATTAATTTATCACACCCTTGTTGAATAAAAGTATTAATTAAATTTTTTTTTTTAAAAGAGAAAAGATACTGACCCCAAACTTTTTAATGGTAGTGTATTGTTAAAAAAGGATTTATATTTTAAATAAATGCTGTTCTTTTTTTTCTTTTTTTTTTACTCTTTATTCAAAGAATCCTGAAAAAAGATTCACAGGTAATAAAATAAAAATATTAAGCAGCACAACTGTTTCCAAAATTGATAATAAATAAGCATATTCGAAAGATTTCTGAAGAATCATGCGACACTGAAGACTGGAGTAATGATGATAAAAATTCAGCTTTGCGTCACAGAAATACATTATATTTTAAAGTATATTAAAACAGAAAACCATTATTTTAAATTGTAATACCGGTAATACTGTGCAATATTACCGTTTTGATCAGCGTTTTTGATCAAATAAATGAAGGCTTGATGAGCAAAAGATATGCAATGTGCAGAAACATTAAAAATAGTAATGTGTCCAAACTTTTAAATAGTACTGTACTTCTGTATGATACCAGGAAACTGGCTAGCAGAAAGAGCATCACAGCTCGGGCTATATAACATACCTCATAAATTGTCAATGAAATAGTGCTAACTCGCTTAGATTTTTCATATATTGATTTACTGGCTAGCTAGCTACTGTATAAACACTTTTTTTGGTATTTACT